GCGCCGCCTAACCAGGCGTACCGTATACGGTCGAAGTTCCTCGCTACCCGCCAGGGTAAGAAGGAGTTGTTGGACTATGTCCAGGAGTTGAGAACTCTCATCGCCGGTATGGCATCGAGCCCTCTTCCGGAGGTGGTCACGGTGACCGTGTTCACGGAGGGCCTGCGCACGGGCGCTGCCGCTGTCTTCCGGCCAGGAAACCTCCATTATTGAAAGTTATCTCTGCGCCACTCGGCATGATGAAGGTACAGCCGCAGCTCGTAAACTCCGAGGGGAGGTATACGTAGACGTTGCTATTGAAGGCTGGGAACAATCGTATTCGTCCAACAACCAGGAGATCGAGAACTTGCTTTTCGACGATGCGATCCAAGTGGGATAGTGGGCGTAGTACGGCGTACTCCGCGTACATGTTATACGATAAGTTATATATACAACAAGGTCCCGTTGACCATAAGTATTCAGAGGATGAAAAACTTATCCAACTTTATCCGTTCCATCACTGTGGTTATTAGTGATGAACGAAGTCGATTACACACTTCGTGTAAGCGACAACAGTTTACAGAAACTCTGCCAACATCAATGCTACAGACGACCCTCTCGGCAGTCATAACGCTGGAAGAACCAAATATTTATTCCTGTCCAAGGGTATTCCTTACCATGAATGTACCACAAAAATGGATCCGTGTATCTTTAGTTTGCAGCATCCACTATAGAAACGATTGGCTTGTTTCACCGTCCCTCTTCGCAAGGTGCTGGAAGCACACCGGGCATTTAGACTACTACAACTGCGTCTACGAAGAACCAGACGAAGGTGATGCAATGCTCGTTGTGCCGGTATCTCGCCTGCACACTAAGGATCCAAGGTCCGTGGAGGTACTTCTGAACCAGCTGAACGAGAACACTACTGCAGAAGATCCCACAGATGAAGACGCTGTGGAGTTGGCGGCCAAGAATTGGCTGTAGATGGCTCTGAGAACAGCTCAGAAAACCTGGACGAGGACGATATGGAGTGTAGTATTGAGGAGGACCTTGAGCTCGTTCGTGCCGGTGCGACTGGAGTATCGGGTAGATCCGCGAGTGGATTGCGAGAAATGCAGAGCACGCTCCGTAAAGAACTTGGAAGGAAGCAAGGACACAAGCAGCAAAGTCTTCGTAGATTTCTTCGGATGTCCTGTGCAGTTATGACTTTTCCCATAGTTAACCACCCCAGAATAGGAATATTTGACTTCAAATGTATTCCATTTTACAACTGGGAATAATAGGGTTTTGTATGCAACTGGTCAACGGGACCGTTACTTTATTTCTGTTGAGGGAGTATTCCATGCCAAGGGATTACTACCGAGGGGATCGTCTGTACAGCTGGCTCCTACACGTGTACCAGCCGTACAACGGTTGTGGATTGGATGGGACGTGCTGTGTTTCCCTTGCTCGACAGCAGTGTATACTAGTAATATGTAGTCTGCCTGTGGTCAAGAAACCCGATTCTCGTTACGAGAGTGGACAAGACGCTCTTGAATTTGGGAGAGGCGGAGCTTTTTTGGCCAGGTGAGTGAACTGTGCGTGATCTGAAAACGGATCTGCTTTCCCACGCCTTCCATTGGTTAGCAAGTTGTGATTTCTCCACTGAGTCGACTTGACTAACCATTGTCGATCACACCTGTGCTGAGACCTCCACGCAACTGAAGACTTCATGGCGTGCGCTACCGAACACGATATGGCCTCAATGCAAGCCACACTCGACTTCATCGACGGCTTCGACGTACCACACGCTGACCTCAGTGCTGAGACTGAACTCCTCGAGCTAATCGACGATGGAACGGTCCTAAATGACCTCGACCACAGCTCGAAAGACGACGCCTCTTTTGCCATGTTGGACAAGTTCAAATTCGGGTTTCCCACGTGGAACAGCTCCTCGAGTAGCAATGGAGACGATGACAGTGGTTTGGACTGTAGAGCTCAGTGTCGTCAAGGGTCTCCCTTCCCAACAAGGCGGCGTCAACGAAAAGGTTCACGTAAAGAGGAACTCGAGGAATTAAGGACACTAGCGACCAAATTGGCGAAGAAACTCCAGTTGATGAAAAGCGCTGCGCTGCAGGATGTGTCGCCGTACAAGGTTGAGAATGCTCTAGTAAAGACGCTGTGGAAGGACATTGCAGTGGGGCAGTTTATGCTTCGAAGAACAACGGAAGCAAGGAATGTTAGACTGCGGAAGGATGTCATGTCGTACAACAAGACGGCTGCGAATCTCAAGCGCATGCTGAAGCGACGATATAGCGAAGAGGTTTGTTCTGGGATTTATCTCATCCTTCGTGGTTCATTTATCTGATGTTTTTTGCTTTAGATGCTCGAGTTAATGCCGATTGAGAAGCGAGCACGAAGTCTAGAGTGCAAAACCTCGAGTACCAATGAACAGATCTTCAGAGAGCTATTAGAGACTATCAACGATGTCTACACTAGCGTCGATGCTCTTTTTGTTAACAAAGGCATGACGAAGCTGCCGTGTCCAAGTCGGGCTCAGAATGCGCACCCTAAGACCACGAATGGTCTTTTCATTGAGTTGAAGGACAAGACTCAAGTCCCATTCAGCGCTGATCAGACTGCTAAAGCTGTCTGGAAAGCAATGTGCGGCCAGAAGACCCGTGACGGCGATATTGTCGATGCTAAGGTACACGATACGTCATGTTTGTATACTCACCGTGCTGTCAGAGAACTTATCGAGTGTGCTTGTAAATCCTAGCTCTGTGTTCACGATACGCAGCAGACTGAGGACACTATCACGAGCTATATGAATTACACTTGCAATGCGTCTGGACACGCCTCATTCGTCCAGGAAAGTGGAGCAGCGCGGAAATACGTTGAACACGATCGTGTCTTGTTCATCTCCAGCAATTTGGTAGAACCAACTATTCGAAGCCATGGCGCTCTGGCGTTGTCTTTTCAAGAAACAGTTGTGACTGTGGTACGAATGGGCAACACCTTGGCATCGGGACAGGAAACTGCCGTCATTGAAAGCTATCTGTGGGTGGATCGACGCGACGACGGCAGGGAAATAGCCCTCAAATTCCGGGATGCAGCCTTTGTGGATATTGCTATAGATGGCTGGAACAAGAAGCTCTCGCTCTACAGTGAACGGATCGAGAACATTTTGTTTGACGACGCCTTAAACGTGATGTAGTTTCTGGCCGGAAGTTCAAAACCAATTTAATAACATGCAGAGTTATGTCATCTATACCTTGTACCAATTTGCCACCCGGTCAATATTTGCCGGTAAGAACGCGAAAAAAAGACTAAAAGGAAGAAAATGAAATAATAACTATTTGCGGTTCTTTCCTGCTAAATTCTTACTAATATTGCCAAGAGCGCATTATTTCCAATCCTAGCGTAGCCAACTACACACTGAGTTGCATTCGTGGTTGGCTCGTTATGATCTTTGATATATAGCGTCTATGGTTTCCAGCGATATTTCGGGATTTTGTTGGTAATTTGTCCGCGAAAAACTAAAAAAAAAACTTCAAGCATCCTGGAAACATATTTGCTGGAGAATTGAAAGCTGGCTAGCCCATTTCCGTTACTATTTTTTTTAGTATTGTCACCAAAACGCTTCCTCAAATTCTGTTTTATCGTAGATTTCTTTTTAAAATATCTACGATCCTGGTTTAGGCACGATTCGCATGACCTAGGTACTGGTTTTCTCTATGCATGGCTACAAGATCCACATGATCAAGCAAGTCGCAAATGACGACTACAATATCTTAAAATCAGCAGCGAACCCATCTGAAAATGGTAACAAAATTTGAAAATTGTAACATAGCATTTCTAACTTTTAGTAAGAGTATATTTAAAGGCATCGATTAATAGGGATGAACCGGCGCCATTATTTTGGTTTGACTTTGAGTTCTCGTAACCAACCAAACGTAGCAACATAGGTTTTGCGACGACCAGGATCTACAATCAAACGTAGAACTCCGTGAGCTAATGGATGTTGTGGACCAAAAACAAATATTTTAATTTAAATACATTTTTATTTGTTTATTATTTATCAAATAAAAATTAAATGTTAAAAATCATTTTTAAGATTGCATTTATTTAACGTATTTTAAATATATTTTTTCATTCATAACATTAAGGAATTTTTAATATTTCTAATAATAATATGTTAATTATTTAATCCGAACTGTTTTAGAATTAAGTTTATTAATTTTTGATTATTTGTAGTTTATAAAATATCAAAGTTTGAAAAAATATATATTAAAAATAATACTACAGAATACGAACCGTTGATAGTGGCAGAGTTTCCATAAGCAATTGTCGCTTACGTTAAAAAATAATACTAATGTAGTAATAACAAACCAATCGACTTTGGAAAACATTATCAAAAGTGATTCAGAAAACGGAACCATAAGTATTGCTCGTTAGCTAGAAATCTATTGCCTATGCCCACTACCCCACTTGAATCGCATCGTCGAAAAGCAAGTTCTCGATCTCCTGGTTGTTGGTCGTGTACGATTGTTCCCAGCCTTCAATAGCGATGTCTACGTATACCTCCCCTCGAAATTTACGAGCCGCGGCTGTACCTTCATCATGCCGAGTGGCGCAGAGATAACTTTCAATGATGGAGGTTTCCTGGCCGGAAGACAGCGGCTCACCTCGTCGCACCACGACCGTCATGGTCTCGTTAAACTTCAATCCTATTCTACCGGTTTCTCCTGTCGGCGTGGGCTCCATGATCGAGCGAGTGATGAACGTCGCGCGGTCTTCGGTGATGAATTTGCGTGCCACTTCGCGAACCTGAAGTAGAGCGGAGACTGTCCCAGCGACGCACGTGAAGGACACGTAGCTGGTGACGATATCACCATGCAATTGGCTCTCCCAGTCGATCGTTCCCTATAGCACAAAGTCGCGATTAGTCGGGCTTTAATTAAAACGCACTACTCCGACTAACCTGAATGTACGGGCTGTCTTTGCGGTGACGGCCGCTGAGCAACTTCCACACAGCATTCTTTGTCTTCTCCAGATCAAACGGGACCTTGTTCTTATCGAGTAGCACAACGATCGCGCCATTTACGGCATCTCGTTGTACCTGGCGTTTCCGTCCTGGACACGGTATTTCAGACATTCCATGTTGGATGTACAATTCGTCCAAACTCGCATACATCTCGTCCGTTCCCTCTAGCAGTTTGGCAAACACTTCCGCGTTGTCTGTTGGCGGTGGTCCAGTCACGTATATTTGCTTGCGGCGCTTAAGCCCAATGAGTTCCAGAGTCTGTGTCGGATAACAGGTGAGCCATGGTGAATGCAGCATACTCAAAGCCTGATTAAAACATACCTCTGAGTCGTTGCGGCGACTTAACATGCGCTTGAGGTTCTTGGTCTGGCGTATTCTCGTTTCCACTGCCTTTCGTAATTGTGCGTTTGTCTCCTCCGATTGTTGGCGTAGTAAAAGTTGTCTGGCTGCGACCTGTTGCCATAGTGACTCTGATTGAGACAGGATCGAACCTACGTGTACATCCTCTTCTGCAGGTGAGTTCGGTGTCGACGACGCCTGCAGTTGGTCCAGTTGTTGGGACAGTTCAGTCACGGTATCTCTTAGCTCACGCAGCTCCTCCTTCTTCGACAGCCGACGCCGCGGCTGCGAAGGTGGAGCTTTCAGAGCACTGGCATCTATCGTGTTCAGCGTTGGATGCAGGAAGCCTTGCATTTCGCTCTGATTTGGTGGTGTGGGGTCGAATAACTCAGGCTCGAGCTTCATGTCCTCGAGGAATGCTTCGGCCGCATGGATGTCGGGATCAAGCGCATCTTCACTGTCTTGCGGGATTTCAAGCGAGTGCGAGTGTTTGAAAGAGCGGCGCTCCGGTATTTCGAGCGAGTGCGCCTTGTTGAGTTTGTGCGAGTGCTGGAAGGCGGAAGTGACGTTCACGGCATTGGTCTCAGAAGTTTCTTCGTCCGTCGACAGCTCATACTGTGCGATGAACCTGAGCGCTGCCTCAAGCGTCTCCACCTCGTTCTGCGGCATTTGTTGCGAGTTGTGGAAGAGCAAACGTCGGACTTGAAGCGAATTGGAAAGTGTTGTTGCCAATTGCCTCGCACCAAGCTGTGGGAAGGCACAATGGGCTTGGTGACTATGAGTAAACGAATGTAACAGCTGGTCACATGTGGAGGAGAAACTTGTGTTTACGCGGGCAAAACGTGTGCATATTTGACATCAACAATGTACTGCCATGCATTCCAATAACCTTTACAATACTAAGGTTTCACAAATTATACGATGCATAGGATATTACAGGTAATGATAAAAATAGCAAATCTAAATAAATTTTATTAAGACCTTAGAGAAATGCTACTTCTCGGGACTATCGTACTGTGTCGTATATCAGGAAATACAGGATCATGTATGACAGTTATCGTTGTTGTCACTACGACACCATGGAGCATTGATGCGCTCGCTTCACGGCTTCAGTGGATCTTCTCAACTTGTGGCCACCAGTGCTGTTTACGGAAGGTTTCCCTGCTGCTGCGTTGATTGTTACACCTCCAGCGACCAATTCAATCGCAGCCATCTCCACAATCGTATAAAGTTTCCATTCAGAAATCATCCTCTATAAGTTGCTTCAACGTGCTTAATAGAGATCCAGCAGGTAGCCACGCTACCTGACTCCAAAGCGCCTTGTCGTCTGCGGGATCGCTAAAGAGGAACAGGATCCACCGAATTTCGGCAAGCCCCTCTACAAACACACCGTCGGGTGCACGCAACGCTGTGATGCAAGTTCTGGAAGGGCCAATTCCGGCCAGAATGATGAGCGCTGGACTCGTCTCAATGAGCTGCAGTGACATAATGAAGCCGGTTGGATTCGCTGTTCGTGGCTCGGAGGATGATGCAGCTGCGAAACCAGTGGACGTATCGATACCAGTTGACGTCCATGTACCGCAAAGGACGAGACCGAGCAGCTGAACTACTATTTGAGCTTAAGATGTCTGAGGAACAACTTTTCATATGCACAAGTTATTGTGGTGGACTGACATGATACCAGAGCACTTGTTTGGTTTGGTTTCGTCTGCGACCTCATTGTTGCTGGATAACAGCTCGGCGTTTAAAAAAGAACTGGCCAGCAATTTGAACAAGATGCATCTCGAGGTCGCGTCTGGTGCTTTTACGTCACGTCCAAACGCAGTTGTGTTTACAAATTGCTCTCGAAAGAACGTCCGACATGAAATCGAGCAGGCTTTGTGGGACTCAATGCATTAAGGATGGCAAAGTTTCTGCATCTTCAGTAACGAATCAGCACGAGAACCAGCTCTTAGAGAGCAGCATACAGTCAAGATAATTTACACATCAACGTACTCATTCGAAAAACTGCTCAAAAAGTTCTTGCTGAGAACTGTACGATAGTCGTGTGTCGGTCGCTAATGTTGACGGATCCGTTCGCTCTCTGGACTGCAGTATTTTGGAGTATGCGACCGCCAACAAGTAGAAAAATACATTGCGATAGATTATCTTACTGCCGACAAAGACGAGCTAACCTTGGTGCACGACTCGTCAATCGCTAAGCTCTCTACTTGATGAGCAATGCGAGAAATGGCTTCATCCCACGCCTCAATCCCCACATCCATGTTAGCTGGTGAGGTGACATCTCGAGAAATCGAAAGGCCTTGATTGTGACGCGTTGCGCTAAAGTGGCTATCGATCCGTGAGGTTTGTCCAAGTCCGGAATCCGTCGAATCGTCAGAACGGATAACGATGCGCAACGTCGTACGTGAGGAGAATCCAGAGGTTTTTCCCTTGTCATGCAGTATCGGCTCCATCAAATTCTTGCAAATGAACACCACGCGATCATTTTCCACATATTTGCGGACCACTTTGCGGAGCTGGGCGCCTTTCACGTCGCCTAGATCGGCGGCCTCCACAAAGAAACTCGTTTTAAGTGTATTGCTGGACTCTTCGACGTGGTGAGCGTGGAACTGGACGCGTGGCGAGAACTCATGGACCTTGGTCAATCCTTGAAAGATGATTAATCTCATTGCCTTCCACACAGCTTTCTCGGTTGTTGCCATATCAAATGGCACCGCATGGCGTTGCAAGAGTTCTAGGAACAGACCATTGGTGACGTTGCGCTTAGCATCACGTCGTCGACCAGGACACGGCAAGTCGTACAGTCGCTTTTCATGGAATAAGGCCTCTACACCCACGTAGAGTTCGTCGGTATCTCGAAGCATATCTTCGAATACCTGCGGATTATCATCCGGAACGTCGTAGTCTAGCATCTTCTGTCGCTTCATACCCAACATATCCTCCATCATCTACAGTAACAAGAAATCAGTTAGAACCGAACGACAACTACCTAGAATCAATCTTCTCGTACCTCTATCTTGGTTCGGCGCTTGAGCACTCGTCGCAAGTTCCTGGCTTCGTGGATCTGAATCTGGAGCATTTCCCGCAGCTTTGCGTTCTCTTCTTCTGATTTTTCCCGTCGTTCGAGTTGTCTCGCAGCAATTTCTTCCCACATGGAAACTCGTCGTGGCACGAGTTGTCCGTTGTGCATGTGCGAGGCAGACCCAGGCTGTACTTGAGGTAGTAGACTCTGCAACTGTTCGTTTAGCTCCTGGACTTCTTCGCGCAGAGTGTCGATCTGCTGCTTCCGAGAAATCCGAACTCGCTTCGGCTTCTCCTTGCTCTGTGTCGGTTGTACCGAGTCTTCCGAAGACACCGGACTCCCGTTGCTCGCTTCATCATCTGACACCTTGATACTGTTCTTAACCGGTGTCGTTGCAGGTGTCAATTGATCTCGAATCGGTAGTTCTTCTCCACACAGAGCGTCCAGCGTCACCTCGTCTTCATGGGATATCTCCAACCGCGAAGCTTCATCTTCGAAACCAGACGGCAGATCGATCTGCGATAGGAAGGAGAAGACCGCTTCGAGCGTCTCGGTGTCTTCCGACATTTTTGAAATGGTAAAAGTTGACTGACGTTACGGGGTAGACGCGCTATAAGTGATCAACTTTAGCTTACGGCATTGACGCGATTCGTCTGTGGCCAGCAAGTCACCGCTACTGGTTGGGATACCACACGTGAGAATCCAGCTGAACAAGGACAGCTGGCTGATGGCGTACCGCACCTTCCAGTCTTCAGGCAAATCCCCCAGCATGTTTACACAGACGTTCCAACGCTGCTGTCGACGCCATTGGTACAGTATGAATGCATGCTCCAGTACACCGCAGCAACCTCCACGTACATTATGCTGTTGTATGAAGTTGCAATCAAGAAGAGCGAGGAATTCCATGCTGAGGCAGGCCTTTCACTAATACTTGTAAGGAAGACTTTTGCCTGGACTAAACTTCTTTTCGTCACATTGACTGTTTGTGTTTGACAAAATGGGGCGTAGCCCATGACAAAGAATCGATTACGCCAACTTGTCGACTGTCATCAAGAGGACAAAAATCCAGCTAGCGCCGACCCAACTTGCTGGTCGTGCATGTGCATATAGATGGATTTTTTTCTCGTTCTCCACTTGGTAGAACCGTGAAGATCCCTGTCGGGGTGGTGATCCAACACCTTGGCAAGAAGCGATTAAATCCTAAGAACATCGAGGACCTATTATTAAGAATGAGTACCAGCCGATCTCCTGCTTATCCGCGGCAGGAAAAAGCGCACATAGAGTCTCATGAGAGGCTTTGCCACATGGCCGGGACAACTTCTCTGTGCTGCCGCACAACTCAAAGTGCTGGACGAGGCAGACACACCAAACCTTCCAACGCGATGAGTGGACTGACCCCCAACGCCTTCGCAAATGAGCCCACGGGGCTGCAAGATGTCTTGGCCTTTATCGCCGACTTTGAGATGGAGGATAGTCATGACAGTGACAGCTGGATGGAGGACGAGCTCTCGACGTCGGGGCAGGGCAAAGCTCAAGACGCCAACCTCGAAGAACTTTTCATAGGCGGCGGCCGTCGATCTTCTTCTACCACTGCAAGTAGCAACAAACGGAGTATGGTGGTACCTTCCAATGCCACTGCTGCGTCAGTGATGCCTCGTCGACACCGAGTTAGTCGCAAGGAAGAGCTGGAATATTTGCGAAAGAAAGTTGCGGAGATGGAAGATAAACTCAACAAGCTTAAGAAACAGGCGGAGGGCGGTGGTACTCCACCTCCTCCTGCTCCTGTGGTTCCAGAGGATGCCCAGGCTGCGATGCAACTAGAACAGTCCGTTGCTCTGTGGAAGAAGATGGCTCAGCGACAGAAAAGTCAGCGAGAAATGGTCGAATCCGAGAACGGCAAACTGCGTGAGAAGCTCAAGACGCAAGTGCGCATGGCCAAGAGCTTGCAGCGCATTCTACGTAAGCGAGAACGAGCAGCAGAAGAGGTATGTAGCAAATATTCATGTTTGGTTTATGATTTATTGCTGATAATACGTTGTGTGGGTGTAGATTACAGCAGAGTCGCCGAAACGGTTTAAGCAACTATGCGAGACAGCAACTGATTTAACTGATGCTGGTTCTACGTTAGAATTTGACGCTCTGACGCAGAATCTCGATGCGCTATATGCTATTACGAATGAACGCATCGCACTGTGTCCAGTAGCGTCAGGCGCCAATCCGGTTCTTCGCAAGCAAGACGTCAAGTACAACGACTTTACTGGGATGTTCCTTGAGTTTCTACACAGCAAACTTGTGCCTTTCGATTTGGCTGCAGTCAATCGAGCTTCGTGGCGTCATATGAGCGAGCCCGGTATCAAGTACAACTCATATTTTGAGGAGGTTGGTAGCTGCACCTATTAGTATCGTGAAAACCGTACTATTGACAAACTTTTCGTATTGTTTAGCAGTCTGCTACTGCGACGGAGAACACAGTAATGCGGAAGTTTGGGGTCGAAATCAAGCAGGACACGCGTACTGCTAAGATGGCTGGAATACAAGCTATCCGTCGTTATGTTGAAAGCGACCGAATAGTGATCGTGCGCGAGTCCGTTATCGATCAGACAGAGCTTGGAGACGCAGCAGCTCAAGGTATCACGTTTCGAGACGTTGGCTGGCTAGTGTTGAAAGACGTGACGGGGCAGGTCTCGGCTTCTGGGCCCATGACACTAGTCCAGTCATACTCAACGCTTACCCCCGACTTGGACTTAAACTCGAGGTGGGAAGTCGGCGCATTGACAGATTTTGTGCTGCAGTCCCGCGAAGACATGGAGGTCGGGAATGAAAGCATTGTAGAGAACTTGCTATTGGAAGAAGCAGCGAAGCGAACAACGCCGTAATTGAAGCTCACGTTATATGTCATAAAGTATTGGCGTGCTCTTATCTCATTAATGCGACTGCTTTAAAGTATTTCAGGTATTAATGGACAGTGACCATTGGTTACAGTAGATCAACAACGTGTGAATGATGCAATTGGTCATTTATCACCGCAATTACGACGTGATACAGAACGTGTGGCCTGACGTTCCTCAAATCTGAGCGCATATGATGCACGGACAGACGACGAACAGCTTATTTTACCAATGACCGGCTCGTTGAACCCCTTACTTATCGCAGCCGTCATTCCCAAAGAGAAGAACTTAAGATGCAAGTCTCTTCCCGGCAAGACGCTGCCAATTTCAATGATTTCCTAGCGTTCGTCGATGACTTCGCTGTTGGAGAATGCGCGGAAATGATTCAGCCTGCACCTTCAAGCCCGAACGACAGTACGTGGCTCGATGGTTTGGAAGAGCTGTTCTGTGAGACCAGCCCACCGCAGACGCTTCCCGATACCTCTCGAAGCTGCAACGACACTCTAAAGGAGTTAAACCCAACGAAAGCAGAGCAATCGCTGTCACTGACGGCCGCTCCATCTACAAAAGGCGCGAAGAGATTTTTCGGTCGACCACGTGTTAGCCGCAAAGAGGAACTCGAATATTTGCGCTTGAAAGTGAAGGAGATGGAAAACAAACTCCACGAGTTGAAAGAGAAATCTGACAGTAGATCCCCTCCTTCAACCACGCCTTCTTCCCCTGACAACCTGCTCAACTCGATGCATGTCGAAAACTCCATTGCGCTCTGGAAAAGAATGGCTGAGCGACAGAAAACCCAACGAGAACTGGTCGAAGTGGAGAATGTCAAACTCCGTGAGAAGCTCAAGACGCAGGTTCGAATGGCCAAAAGTCTCAAGCGGATCCTCTGCAAACGCACACGAGATGAAGATCAGGTAAAGTCACCGTATCAGCTACACAAGAACCTTAATAATTATATTCTAACCTCTTGTTTTATTCAGGTTTCGAACACGCCCAAGCGAACGAGACCTCTATTGCACAGTGTTACCGGCATTTTCGATGAAATGCTGCAATGTCTTGATGGCCTTTACGTCGAAACAGACAAGCACATCGCACACTGCCCCGTGGCATCAATGGCAAACCCGGTACTTCGCAAACGAGACGTCAAGGCCAGTGACACTGCAGGAATGTTTCTCGAGTTTCAAGACAGTAAACTCTGGCCATTTGATCTGCAAACTGTCAGTACAGCAACATGGCGCTTTCTTACTGAAACTGGTGTCAAATTCAACAAGTACATCGAGGAGGTAAGCTCTTGATTCGTAGGACTCTGGCGTTTGCTATATGACTAACATATTTGGTATCTTTGCAGCATGTTGAGATGCGGGACGACACGATGTTGCGGAAGTTTGGCGTTGAATTTAAACATGGCGACAGTGTTGCTGTCTTGTTCGGGAGACAAGTGACACGTCGATATGTTGCCAGCGATCGAGTTGTACTTGTTCGCCACTCCATCATCGACGAGATCCAACTGCCAGGAACGCAAACAAGTGGTCTCACATTCCGCGAGTCGGGCTGGATCGTACTGAGAAGTATCCCAGCGTTAGGCTCCCGATCGGCTACTCTTACTCAAGGGTACTCGACAATGACACCGGACATCGACTTGAACGCAGAGTGGGAAGTCGGAACACTGACGGACTTTGTGCTTCACTCACGGGAAGATATTGAGGTGGGGAACGACACGATCATCGAAAGCTTGCTTCTTGAGGAGGCGGCAAAGCAGTCAGCACAGTAATCTATCGATCATGTACACGCTTCGCTTAGTTACTTCTCATGGCTTCTTCGATTAGCGCGTCTTCAACAGACTGGTGGATGCCATCAAGGTTCTCTAGGAACGAGCTAGTCACAATGTCTGTGAGTAGCATAAGCTCCTCTTGGCTGCGTGGCATCACCTCAGGCAGCTCCGTCCGTACTCTCACGCACGTCTGAATGATACAGGAGTCCATTGAATCGTCATTTGCATTAGTATAACGCTCAACTGACGTCCATCCAGTGTCACGATGCCGCATCCTCTGAGCACTGCTGAGCGTGCCTTTGACTTCCGTCTCACAGGCCCACACAAAGATGCATCTGTCTTCTTCAATAAAACGTTTAACTGCAAACCAGGCGTCCTTCATAACTTGGTGCTTCTCGTGCTGCACCGTGAACGCCATCTTGGCCGACAGCGTATCCTCCGTTCCGTCAATTAACTGCATAAACCACATTTACGTTAACAGCAAAGCTCCCAACATATAAAACACAGTGTAAACCCACCGAATAGTGGCCATCTCGAAGCTTAAGATGCGGCTGGGCCATACAGCGCCAAAATTGTGTGGCAGTTGTGTGTACCTCAAACGGCAGTATCTTTGAGGACAAGAACTCCATGAACATACCGTAGATACCATTCGGCTTGACCTGCATATGCTGTCCGTCCGTCTTCTTCCGAGCAAACTCATTCTGTCGAAACGCAGCGTCTGTTTCCTTGTATTGTTCGTCCAATTGTCGTAAGATTCGGTCGAAAATGACATTTTCGGCTTCGTATTCAACCCGCACGCGCTTCCTTTCACTGACCCACGTTCCAGACTCCTCCATAGCTGATCTTTTCCTCAGGAGCTTCTCTAGATTCAGCACTATCGTCAGTTGACCTTCCACCATGCCCCTGAGCTTCTCGTTCTCTCTCTCCGCCCTCTTCTTGCCTTCGAATTGCCTTCTAGCTACTTTCCTCCATACGGAGACTCCAGCTGCGTCTTTCTCGGTCTCATTTTGGTCCTTTACGCCGTCCTCTCTCTTCTTAAGTTGCTGCAACTGCTCCTCCAGTTCTTTGGCTTTTATTCGAAGGTAATCTAGCTCATCTTTGCGTCTTTTGCGACGTGGAGGAGCTGTCACTGGTAGAGTGATGGTCATGTTGTCTGGAGAAGCCTGTGTGTCGCTTGTGGCACTCGAGATCCGATTGCTGGGGCTGCTTTGACTGCTGACAGGTTCTGAGATCACTTCCACCAGCTCCACAGGCTCAGGGAACAGTAGCGTCGGGTCTAACTCATTCACTTGATCTTGCGAGGGTTTGGAGAGTAATTCAGTGACTAACTCCTCGTCTTCGGGAAGTAACAGCTCGTCAAGCGTAGGAATGTCGCCCATTCCCAGAGAATCCAAAGTCCCGTGGTCCATGAGGGGGTCGATCAAGGGGGAATTTGCGCTCATACCGTCACGAAGGAGCTGGCACAACAAATTTGACGGTGTAGCGAGCAAGATCTAGGGTTCTTCAGCGTTAGGAGTGGCGGCATGCGGCGCGGCGGACACGGTGATGTACTGACGTCACGTGAGTGCATTTACTTTATGATTCATGAGGAGTGATTGTCATATCTCGAATAAAGGACCCTAGGGTTACGCTGGGTTACCATCTTCATAACTGCTCTTATTAGTGCTCCGTCTCAAGAAGAATGCTACAGAGCAATTGTGGAATGAAGGTCATACATGTACATTACGCGAGCAGTAAGTGCTCTGTGCTACGAATCAACGGGGGATCTGGCTACCCACTGCACAACACAACACACTCCTTGTTGCCTACAGCATCTTCGACTTGAGTTCTGCGAAGGCCTTGAGCGGCTCGTCGCCTTCCGGATCCACGACGTCCGCTAATTTCCCCTTGGTACGCGCATCGCGCATACGGTGCCAGATGGCCGTGGCGCGCTTGCGCTCCGTGATGAGACCGAAGAGCGCGCAGATGTCGATGATGAGCTTGGTGGGGTTGAACTGCAGGAACTCGCCCTCGCCTGTGGAGTAGTCGTACGGAAACTTGTGGTGCCAGTTGTGCCAGCCTTCACCCAGTGCCAAGACGGACACGAACCAGTTGTCGCGCGGACAGATAGTGTCGTCGTACTCAGCTGAGCCGTAGAAGTGCGTGGCGCTGTTGACCAGCCACGTCGCATGCAGGTCGAGCACATAGCGTAGGAAACCACATACAAAGAGAGCGTTGAACCAGTTCTCACCGGCAAAGTGCGTGGTCACCATCATGGGGAATACGAAGCACATGAAGAGGTTGCCCCACGGGTTGAGCTTCTCCTGCAGCACGACGGTCCAGTCGGCCCACAGGTCATCGTAGTTAAGCCCTTCGCCGGCCTTGACCACCTTGGGGTCCTTCTTGACCAGCAGCCAACCCATGTGGGCGAAGAAGAAGCCACGACCAGAGTTGTGTGGATCGGCGCTTGTGTCCGAGTACTTGTGGTGCACGCGGTGGTCACGACTCCAGTGGAAGATGGTGCCCTGGTTAGCCATGGAGTTGCACAGCATGAGAAGGAAGCGGACGAGGCCACAGGCCTTGTAGCTGCGGTGTGCCCACAGGCGATGCGCGCCCATGGTGATACCCAAACCGTTGAGCACGTACAGTCCAAAGAGCCACCAGTACGTCTGTGTTTTGCATTCTGGCAGACACGTAGCGCCTACGACGGCGCCGATGTGCACCAGCGTGATGTAGTAGATCATCGGCCAATTGGCATTGCGATAGTTTTCCGCCCAGCTTGCCATAGTTACTGCTTCTGTTGGTTGATGGTGCTTCAAGTGCGCTCCGAGATGGAAAATGGACAATGAGATTCCGGGGCTCTGCTCTTCATTTCGTCCGTTGGTGCGCAGGAGGTGGAGGTGCATATGCCAGTCGATGTCACGCGCGTGTTGACCCTTGTGTCATCATGTCAGCCTCACTCTTATTTAACGCCGCGGGACATCGGCCATGTTGAAGGGCATCCAGCGTAAGGGATCCACCTGAACCGTCCAATTGACGCGTTTCTCTCGTGCCCATACTTGGAGCTAGTGATTTCGAAGGCATTGCCGATTTGGGGACATGGTCAAGCAGCGCATGCGTCCAAGTTGGACTCCAAAGTGACGTCCAGACGGTAATTGCAGTGATGCAATAGCGCTGGAATATAGTAGTGCAGACGGCAGGAGGTGGCGGCGAAGCGTTAAATAGGGAGAACACACCAGGAAGAAAAAAAAAACTTGGTCATCGGTGTCACTAGCGTAACGCTGAATAGATTGATATCGGTCTGCTCTGCATCTTTGCTTCATCGACGACCTTGGTCGCGCTGGTGATGTCGTCACTGTTCGTTTAACTCGAGCAAAATGGGCTCTCGTTTCTATGACGCCGAGGCATCCGCGCTGTGTGGAAACGGCGTACGGATAGTCTGGATAAGCTTGGTCATGAACTCGTGCTGTGCAGTAGCCTGGATAAATGTACGGGATGCCGGCGGATCTTGGAAGTAATTGTTCTGAACAACATTGTACCTGCCGTGCGGCAATTGAGCTATTTAGCAAGAGATCGGCAAGCGGCATGATGCCGGCGGATCCTGGAATAAATTGTTCCGAACAACATCGTTAACATCCTAGGTGGTCTACGGTGGACTCCGGTAAATGCTGGTCGCGGGCGAACAGGTATCAACCACCTTAGCCCATGTGCAGCAGCCAAGACTGCGGTTGTCAGTAAATTTAGTACATTTTTTTTTAGCAAAGCTCACAAAAACCCAGAAATAAGTATCGTAATTCAAGCCAAACCCTATAATTTCAAAACGCACAGTGCGAACACCTTACTAGCTCTTCATCATGTGCGTGACTGACCTGCCTGGCGATCCCGACGGCGTCTTGGTGCTCCACGACGTCATGGAGCTGGTAGATGAAGTCTACGAGCCCAGCGAAGGCTCCACATCGGCCAACGCGTCGCCCATTGTGTTTGATTCGGACGACGAAGACCTGGACGTGCCTCCATTACGACCGCGTCACTCCTCAAGACGCAACAACAGCCACAGACGTCGCCAGCGGGACGAGCGATGCTCCGGCGGAGTGGACAGTGACGAACCGAGTCACAGCGTTACGTCACTTGCTGCGGTCCCGATCTTCGGTAGCCCCGCCATGCTGGACTTAGGAGAAGACGACACCGATGAGGACGTCATGGGCGGCGTCTACCACGGCGCTGTGACCGCCAAACTCAAGCAACCCATGGAGCAATGGCGACTAAAGTCCACTATCACAAACGTGAGTGTAGCTCCCGTTAAACAGAAGACAAAACAGGTTAAAACCAAGCCTGTTAAAGAGATCAAAGGCCCGAAACCTCGTATGAACCCGAAAGACGAGGTGCAGTATCTGCGGAAACGTGCGAAACAACTGGAACTGACACTGGAGACGCTCAGGCTACAGGCTCTAGCAGACAAAGAGAAGGCCATGGAGACGGCCATCGTCTTCAACTTGGTCCCACAGCCAGAGCTGCTTGCACCGTCGAGTAATACGGAACCGGGATCTCCAGCACAAACACAGACAAATAAGGACAAGGTAAATAGTCCCGCAACAGTGGACTGTTTGAACAGCAGTCAGAACGCCTCAGTTGTATCAAGTGAGGGGCTCTGGGAGCGCATAGCCACATTCCAGAAGGCCGAGTACGAGAAGTCCATGAAGCAGAACAAACGCCTTCGCGTCATGGCCGAGCAGCAGCTTCGAGCACTCAAACAACTCGAAGTGGCTTTCCGCAATCCACAAGCTGTAAGCCAGTAGATGTGCTTGTATACCGTGGTAACAGACAGAGTCTTTGAGTGTTCCAGACCTTATATTTTGTCTTGTCATCCTTGCTATGTCCAGGTCATGCGTGCGTTGCAGTACCGTCGTCCAAATACACTGTTCCAACACAGTTTATTCGACAGCGAGGCCGCCATCTTCGATTCTCTTCGGGTGGAGCTGGAGACGCAGTATCGACAGACCGACAGCATCTTCCAGTCTGCTGGAATCGCCCACTTCGAAGGCGATATGGCGTGTTCAGCAGCGCTGCGTTCGACTCCCAACGGTGTCTTCCTGGAAAACACCGAGTGCAAGGTCTTCCCGTTCAGTCTCAACGCTGTGGACCAAGCGGTGTGGCGTTGCCTAGCCGACAGGAATGCCGAGTTCCATCCGGGTTTGTACGAAATTCGCCACGTTTCGGATGACGTCGTTGCTGTGAAGATCTCGGATGCGGTGCGGCTACCCGATGCTGAGACGCTGGTGACAGTCTGGCTGACTGTGAAGCGCTACTACGAATGGACCGAAGATGGTTGCACACGGATCATTTGTGTCTGGAATGCCATGGTACAGACTGAGGGCTCGTTAAATATCCGACTACAGGAGAGAGGCTGGAATGTGCTGCGTCCACTAACCTACACGGCGTCTTGTGTCGATTCGAATCATGCCATGAGTTTTACGCAAACTTGCATGCGAGTCTCACCTCTGGGTCGAGCAGAGTTTTCTGCTAGTGATGTGGCTGTCGGCACGCTGGCGAATGTGCTTGTGGGGTGCTACCACCGCACTGTTATCGTTATGCACCACGTGTTGGAAAAACTGCTGCTTGTCGAGGATACGCGATCGCTGCTGGGCTGAAACGCAAATGGCAAAGGCACGGAAACCTATGATGATATTGCGTTTGCAGTCCATTGCCAGCATCTAACGAAAGATGGTGAAAAGATGTAAAATAAAATTTGTTTTCGAGTATACATGTAGTTTTTTTTTTCAGCGTGTTCGCTGTGACGATGGTGCTACTTGCCAGTGACGATCCTGCTCAACCACATCATGCCTTCGTCAACTCCTTGTCCAGATAGAGCAACGGTCTTCGATATGTGTGAAGGATTTCTGGTAACGCGACGCAATGCCAGTTTGTCACGGATCTCTTCGACGTCCATACAACCTGGTTGGTCCTGTTTGTTGGCCAGTACCAACAATTTACAGTCACGAAGCGCGTCATCTTCAAAGACACGATGTAACTCGTGGACCGCTTCGTCGATACGGTAGCGATCAGCTGAATCGATCACGAAGACTACAGCATCAGCACCTTCGTAGTAGAAGCGCCACAACGGTCGAAGTTTGCTCTGACCGCCGATATCCCACGCAGTAAACTCGATATTCTTGTACTGGAAAGTCTCAACGTTGAATCCGATCGTTGGAATCGTGGTCACAGCCTCGCCCAGCTTCATTTTGTACAGCAACGTCGTCTTGCCAGCGCCATCGAGACCAAGTAGGAGAATACGACTTGGTTTCGTCCAGTAATTGGCCATTCGGTCCAGCGCTGCTGCCAGATATTGGGACACGAGATTGCCCATGCTGCACGAGTCTTGTCTTGCGTTGGTTGCTTTGTTGGGAAAAGTAGTTGTGCACTTCAAAGTTGAGCCTCTAGTGAGCAGAAACTGACGACCACCGAAATGTAGTCATTTGTCATGCTTGTCAAACTTGACTTGGCGTATGGTGATTGGTTGCGGGACGCATGCGATAGATCACCGAGACGTTAAAGGGTTAACCCTTTCATTAAATCTAGCGATCTTGCCCAAGCTGACGTGGCTGTATAACAGCTCACTGTTGCTGGAAGTCCTTTAATCCTATAGCTATGTATCACCTGGCTGTACCAACAAGCACTTAAACTGAAAAAAAAAAAACTAACTGAACATGCATCATAACAATAGGAAAAGTGCTTCGAAGCTACAGAATGACACACATTTATTGACAATCAACTTTTAGCACTCCCACAGATTCCATTTAAATCGGTGTGGATTCAAAACTGTGCTCCATCAGAATATTCTCAACCGTTTGGAACAACCAGCCTAGATTTCGGTGGACAGCTGCAAGCAGAAGCTCTGTGATCGCTCCAGTGCGCTGACCAGGAGTATCCAGGACCCGTGCTGACAATGACGGGGTGAGGCGCATGCACAGCTGAATAATAGTCTCCTCAGAGGGTAAATCGCCATCCTCCGCTTCACAAGGCACAGGTCGAATAACAACCCACGCACGCTGCATCATCTTGAGTCCATGAAGCAGGTCGCGCGGTCCCTCACTCTCAGAGGCACATTGAAGAGTGATCACCACTCGCCCCGGCTCCACATATTTCTTAATAGCGAATCGCATCTGCATACGCGCGGCTGTATTGCTCACTCGCAACGTTGTGAGAGCCTTGGCACGAATAGTATCGATTGAGCTAGCTACTCCATGATACGTGCCGTCCGCCAGCTTTAAGTGATCTTTCGACAAGCACCGCCATACTGCTGAACACGTCTGCTCCATCCCAAAAGGAACTACCTTGGAGTTCGTGGCTTCCAAGTACAGAGCCTCCGTCTCACCCACATGGAGACTAGAGACACCGGAGCCTTCCTCTAGACTCTGCATGACTGGGTGTCTAGCACAGATTACGTCCACTTCTGAGAACACCGCGTCCATATCTCGTAGCAGGCTCTCATACAGCGAGTCTTCACTTGATCCAGTACAATAATTACTAAACTCTAGTCGTGCTTGGAGCTGCGCAGCCTCCGTACCTTCGTCCTTCCTGGCAGCGTTCTTTTTAAGTAGCTTCTGTAAACTACGGGCCAGTTTGATCTGGTCTATGAGAGACGCTCTCAGCTGTAGATTTTGTAGTTCGGCTCGTTGTTTCTCCACCAACTGATGCTTGGCGATGCGTTGCCACCGCATGGCTCGTCCTCGTCGGCCTCTGATCTGGACTGTAAGAGCTTTGTTCTCTTTATCTTGACCTTTTGAGGTCATAAGTTCCCGTCGTTTAGTCTCCATCTCTTGTTCCAGTGTCTGGACCTTGTTGCGGAGGTAGGCGAGCTCTTCTTTTTGCCGTTTGCGCGTCGAGTTTTGCATTGGCAGCTTGTTTACTGCCATTTTCTCCTCCAAAACACCCTTCGACGACGTTTTCAACGTCATTTCGGCCTCATTTCCGCCCACAGAGGTGTCAACATGTAGCTCAGAGGATGGTGAATCTGTTAAAAGTCCTGTTAGCGTCGGAGACGGCGTGATAGCCGTCGAAAAGTGGCCAACAATGGGTGTGCGAGACGTCCCCGAAGGCATTTGATACCCACCGAACGGTGGTAGCTGAGACGGAGAACCGGCGTCGGATGGAGACAGCAGATCCGCATCATTCAGCTCGTCCAAGAATCCCGGCAGTAGGGCTGCAGACAGCGCCGCATCGTCCAGCGAGAGGCCCCCCAAGTCCTCTCCATTGCTCGCCATGATCGTTGAATTACTATTAAGTTTTTTTTACTAAAACCTTACAACTTTAGCTAAAATCAGGTTTATGTAATCACCATGGAGCCACGTTGAAGCACAACAGCCGCCAAGTGGAACACGGACACTCCATGTACGTGATCACTTCCATGACTCGGACCTAGAGGCTTATCGTTATTGCCGAGCAGTGATCATAACTCGATCTGCGTCGTTACCAGCTCGTCAGCCATGACCAACGTCGCTATCATCTACTACTCCATGTACGGCCACGTCGCCAAGTTGGCGTCGTCCATCAAGGCCGGCGTGACGTCTGTTCCTGGCGTGAAGGCCAGCGTCTACCAGATCCAGGAGACGCTAAACGACGACCTACTCAAGAAGCTACACGCCCCGCCTAAGCCTGATCTGCCTGTTGCCACCCCCGACGTGTTAAAGAACGCCGACGGCATTCTACTGGGCTTCCCCACGCGATTCGGTATGCTGCCGACGCAAGTCAAAGGTCTGTTCGACGCTTGTGGTGGCCTGTGGGTCAACGGTGGTCTGATTGGCAAGCCGTGCGGTATCTTCTTCAGTTCTGCGTCACTCGGCGGCGGCCAGGAGACCACGGCAATGAGCATGACCCCGTTCATCGCCCACCAAGGCATGACATTCGTACCGCTGGGATACCGGTCCCCGCTCGTTGGTACCAACGAGGAGATCCACGGTGGCAGCCCCTGGGGAGCTGGAACCCTCGCCAATTCGGACGGATCACGTCAGCCGACGGACCTTGAACTTGAAATTGCGAAGATTCAGGGCCAGAGCTTCGCGGAGATCACCAAAAAGCTGTCGGCGTAAGAGATGTAGGCAACAGTGGTGATAAAAAGATCGTTTAAGTTCGATGTCCAGGTAAGAAACGAACGTGGATAAGCATACCCAAACACGATTATTTTTCACCACGGAGTGATAATGCTACCACGTTTCAAGATTTAGTAAAAAAAAAAAAAAAAAAAAAAAAAAAAAAAAAAAAAGATCAAATATTTCCCAATTGGTTTGTTACTGCACGTCGTATTGTACTAGCTTTCGCGGTTTTCAAGTAAGATTCCACTACTCACTCTTTTATTACAGGCAAAACTCCTCTGTTTTATTGTAGCCACGCTACCTTTCCCTGCATCCAAGCCACTTTTCCTCGACTGGATCACACAACGGACCGATGCCCTTGTCAATCTGATATTGCCTCAATGCGATGCGGCTATCGTCATAAACACAAGACAGCACTTGAAACCGCATATTGCTGCAAATTCCAGTGACGTTTCCTGGAAGATGGCACTTTCTAAACAACTTTCCGTCGCACATTTCAACCTTCTCTTTAGTCGGAGTGTTGTCAATGTAAACAGCACCACCTGTCCATTTAGCGCAGACGTTCGGTGCATATTCCTTGAAAGCGTCTTGAGTACCATTATATCCCAAGTACGGGGTGACTGGTAGTGATGAGTTTGTGGCGTTCATTAGGCATTTTGCTGGAGGCAAACCGAGAAACGGATCACCCAAGCAAAAGAAGTCGGCCAGGTCACAAGCACCAAGAAAGCCATTGCAGCAAATAATACCCGGCATCATCGTGAAGTCTACGAGCTTATCTAGAGGAGACATATCTGGTATCCACTCCAGCAAGGGAACAACAGAGATGGCAAGCATTCGCAGGTCTGGAATGAGATCGAAGTCCGGAAGTTGACGAAGTTGAAGCAACCAGGCAAGCGAAAGGCTCTGCAGATGTGGTACACCCGATAGAGGTGGAATTCGTTCGAGCCTCCCATGAACAGCAAGATGAATCATAGCTAGATGCGGCATATTGCTGAAAAGCGTATCTGGAAGCTCTCGTAAATTCATACTGCCCGCCTTGCCTTCTATGTGACTGTCACAAGATATATTACGAAACTAATCATCTAACGGTAATAAGAGCATCTAAGCACTTACAAAGTTTCGAGATGATTGAATTCTCCAGTCCAGTCTGGCAAATTCTGAGTGTTCGTATACATCAGCTGCCTAACCAGTTCAACACACATTGAGAATAAGTACACAAGACGTTGATATGAGAGGTAACAACGTACAGTGTCCGCAGATTGTGACAAGAGCGAAGCTCTTTTGGCAATTCGGACAATTCACGATTGATAATCTGTACTGATTCCAACCTCCCGGTTACTGATAGCGCTCGAAGAGTGCTGTACGCATTAGGTAGATGTACCCACTCCTCATACGTTTTAGGAGCCTTGTTAATGTCAATAAATATTAAACACGGGCATGCTATGTCGCTCGATGTCCAATGATACGCGTATACGACACACTCTGGATACGCAGAACAAGCAGCTACAGAGTGAGCAATCGACTGCTGAGTTATTACCACCATGGCCACGTTATATAGAAGGAACAAAGCTCCAACGAATTTCGGGACCGGCGACTTGTGCTCAAGTGGGATAATAGTCCCGGAACTCTTTCTTCTCGTTCTACCCGATATCCACGAATGACGCCGTCGCCAAATCATAACCTCCATCATACGTTTAATCCGATAACAGAATGATAAATTCAGCGCAATGCGTACGACCAGATCGAGTCCAGAACTAAATCGCAATGAATCGAAACTCACTCGAAACAGGGCAATCTCTGACTGGTCTACAAACATGCGCGCTGTGTGTTCAAAACTGCCAGATATGAGTTTATCTAATTGAGAGAGATACACGTCACGGTCGAATTCGAAATTGTAGTAGCAGAACACGAGTGTGATGATGGGGAAGAGTACAGCAGCAGATAAGTCAAAACTGAATAAAAGATATTAGCTAGATACATGCAAGAGCATGCAGATACATATAAATGACGTACATGGTGTCAATGAGAACCTCCGTGAGGGTCGAAACCTTTGCTGAAAATATGTTTACGGCGCATGACAACGAGTTCATGACGACAAAACACGTATAACCATACACAATCGGCACAGGATTACCGCGTTTTAATAATTCGAAAAGCACGATTGTCTGCATCACAAGGTCGACTACTTTCGTGTATACGTTCTGCATAACAAAAAAAAACGAGAATTACAAATAACTCAGATGTGGTATCAACCGCTACAAACAAAGCAAAAGGGATTCTTACCCATAACTTGCGTTTCTTGCCGTTAAACGAAGTATGGTCTTTCCACGATGAGTGGATCTGCTGGTAACTTGGGGCGACAACAACCGACCAAGTTCTCGACTCTAATCGAGATGCACTCAAACTATCTAGAAGTCTTGCTTCTAATTGTCGAAGGAATACTGGTATGAATATTTTTTCACGCCAGCATATCATCTTCAGTAATACAAACATGTAGCACAATGCTACAAACAGTAGGCCGGCGACACCCATGCGTGTCAACTCCGGGTTTGCGTCGATGATGAGCCAGAACTGTCCATTGTCATAGGTGCCGGTGTCCATGAGCCAGTTGGCCGCTTCGTTCGGAGCTAGAGACACGACTATGAGCCATCCCGTCCAGACGAAACACAATACGAGAATGAGGGTCATCGGTATTCCAAAGACCCCCAACGCCTCAAAAAAACTAAACTTTAGGTCGTGTGTGTCTAGCAATCTTCGTTTCGTCTTAGTATCTCGCCGCTTTGTTGCCGAGTCTGCAGGTGCGACCTGGGTGAGCTTGGCATCCAGCCACAGCCTCTGTCCGCCTGCTAGACTTACTCGACTTACACTCCTTATCATCTTGGCCATCGAAATACTTGTATGACGGTGGGTGTCTAGCGGACGAATCTTGAGCTATTCATAAAGGGAATATTGAATTAGTACTATGCCCTGCGCTAAAATTATCTGACGACTCTCCATGGGCAAGCGAAAAAATAAGTACAACTCCGTCCAGGTGGTCCCGTTCCCAGGCCGCACAATATAAAATTTGGACGTGCGCGAAGCTCTGCTCGTTATGCTTTGGACCTCCAGTGGTCATTGACCAGTCGATCGTGGTTACGCCACGTTATTTAACGATTTTTGAAGCCCTTTCTGAGAATAGTTCCAGAGAAGAAGAAAAAAAGTCATCACCTTGGAGAGCTGGTCTGTACGAAAGCGCTACAGTTATCAAGATAAAAATTGACGGATAAGATGAAGTTGTCAATTGTAAATAAACATTAGACACTTTAAAACACACCACTATCTACTGTAGCGCGAAGGAGTACATCTTTGGCGTCCTTCTGAAGAGAAGCAAACGATTCTTGCTCGAAACGAGCTATCAACTCGCACACTTTGTTGACAAAATCACGGTAACCTCTGCGTAGTGGTTTGGCTTCCACAGTCCCGGTGATACACAATTGAAGAAGACATACACCTGGCGACACCTCGGACAAACGCACCAGGTTCGTTCTTCCAACTTGATTCCGTCAACTGCAACTCCAAACACTTCCAGCAGTTCATCCTGACCAGTAAGCACGATGACTTCTCGCTTCTCTTCCGCGTACTTGACTGCCATAAAACGAAGTTGTATCTTCATGACGTCGTCTTCTATATCCAGAGTAAAGACACGAGCTGCTTTCTGTTTAAGGTTAGCCTGCAGCAGTTATGGTCAACATCAGGGTGCTCATTTGAACAAGTATCCATGCCGGTACTTACCTGAATATGATTGCCTTCCTCCTCTGTTTCATAATCTGTTACCAATTTATCCATGAACGTCTTTGCACTTGCGCGGTAGTCGAAGGGAAGCACATCGCACTTGAGCAACTCTATTCGCGTGTTGGAAGAGGATAGTGGTCGAGTATTCACCTGTGAGAAAGGAGACGGTATGGAACTGAGGCCATTCGACTGAACCACGCGTTCGGTATCGAAAAACAAATCGCTCAGACTGCCACTCATTTGCTCTAACAACTCAAAACCATGACCGGGCCTTCGGGTACGAAGATTGGGTTAATCCAACGTGATAAACCAGAAAATGTCCGCTGTACGAGCACCAGAAAACGCTTTTTCAGTATAGGAAGGAGATGACGAACCAAATCGAGTTTAAACATACCTTTGTCAATGCCTCCTTGTGAAACATCCTTTTCAGTGACTTGATGGTCTTGATTTGAGTTTGAATGAGTCGACGAAGATACTCGTTCTCTGACTCTGCTTCGTTTCGCAGCCTCTTTTGCCTCATCGTCAAACCGTGCCAGGCAGCTAGCCGTGTTTCATCCGACCGCTGAAAGCAACCAGCATTACCAGCTAGGGGCTCGAGAGAGTTCTCGGTGGTGGCCCGTTTCGAATAGCGTAACTCTTCTAGACGTTGCTGTAAATCTGCAGTCTCCGCGCACAACTGACGTATCTCCAGCTTCTACAAGTCTCGAGACCGATTTCTTCCTGGAACCTTCAGTATGGTCTTGAGTCGTGCAATCTCTTGTTTTATGGCGTTGGCTCCGTCATGAATCTCATTAGGTTTGCTCCGAGATCCTGACCTCACTAGTTCGTCGTCAGTCACTGCTGACACATTGTAACTGCTCTCATCGCTGCTGTGACCTGAAGAGAACCTTGTAAAGGGATCGTCAGGGGTGTCGAAGAAGGCCAGCGTTTCCTCGAGTGCCTTCAATTCCTCGACGTTCATCTTACACAGTGGGCAATCAAGCCGATCGTGAAATGAGCGGTTCGTCGGGTCAACTCAAATTGATCAACGTTACAATGTACCCCTGGCCTAACGATATGTGGTTAAGCACATACGGAACAAATAATAAACGCATGTTTGGTGATCTCAGTGGAATACCACAGACTTCTTTTTTTAGTAATCCATATTTGTCATGCATGGGGTGATCCTATATGTGTCTGTTGGTTTGTTCAGTAAATGAGACGATCGGTGTTTCTTTAATGATGAAGAGCAACATGTATCATTGAACCGGGACAATCTTACATACATACTCGAACATGACATCGAGTCTAACAGCTCACGACGTTGGTGTGCGAAGATTTGTGCGGATTTGGGTTTACGCGGGAAAAATCCGGATGGTATCTGAATATTAATTCGGATTCGAAATTTTGATTCGATTCAAGTCCCCTGTCACTCGAATAATATCATAATATGCAATGATCTTCAATCCGTCGTCACAACACTTTATTGTAACACAATCTAGAAATTATTCCTACTGAAGTACTTATGAATATAATCGAGCTGTCGATAATGCAAATATATCATTATTAAGAATGCTCTTGACAACCGTGAGTGGGATCTTTACACATGTATTACAGTAGTTCAAGAACTAAACTACACAGTATAGCGTTTAACTATCTGTCGGCCCAATAACGAAAGGGCTAATATTCCCATCAGGAGACAGTTGTGCACCGTTGAATAAACGGGAAACGGCCTCCAGACTTCCAAATAGACGTAATAGCGGTGTCAACAAGTCTGACTTCCATTGAAGTCGAGTGATTTGACCACTCATATTATCCCTGACAAAGCGCATCGACCCATTGACAATGATTTTCTCGCCGAGTATTTTACCAGCAAGCGAGGAATGTTTTCCGTTCTTGACCAAGTCGGGAAATCCATAGCGCAGTGTGTTTTCGGTAATGATGATCTATCTCACAGCGAGTGGTGACGTTGAGCACGTTTTCTGACACATTGTCCATGCGCAGAGGCCGCAGATCGAATTCTTCGTAGCACTTGGAAAGAAATATGAGGTTGTCCATCAGTGCTTGAATACCGGACACCACACCATTGCAGATGTCATGTGCCATCGCCGTTTCCATAAAGTGCCATTGCGCTTGGAACTGGCTGGACTTAGGCGTCTTGTAAGTGAGCAATGATTCCTTCCCTGTGGTAGAGACTACTGAATGCTTAACACCGTGGCGAAAAAGACGGAAATATTCGGCGGCAATACTCCAGATCGTAGCGTTTGTTTGACCGTACGATAATACCCGCTGCTGAGATTCGAGCTCTGGAATTTCTTCTTTCAGCTTTTTTAAAGAGTCTTCGAGACCCGCCACAAGTTTGCGCTGCCTCATCTTGTAGCTTGCCTGGTGCATACGATTCTTTTGGCGTTGGCGTTCGTTCTTGGATGCGTCGTTGTCGAATCGATCACTAGTGGCCGAAACTAATTTCATTTTTTTAATCTTGGTATCGATTACACCGACGGTCAACGCGTCAGAGTGATAGCGCGTAAGTCCAGTGATACTAGGCAAACGATTGGACGGCGCAGACGGAGTCGTTCTCAACGATGCTGCAGACGGCAACAAGCCATAGGGACGAGAAGCCACATCGGCCCTCCGTCTATTTCGTATGACAGTGCTGTGGTGAAAGTCTTCATCTTGTTGGACCACAGAACCAATAATGGTATCGGTGAAATACGCTCGGTGTGGTGGGAACATGATGCGCGTGATGATAATGAGTGTGTTCAGTGTATCGAATGCTGACAGGCACTGCAGTTTAGAACTAAGTAAGAAACGACGAGAGGGTGAATAATGAGGATTAGTAGAACGGGCGCGTTACTGCAGATCGTTTGCTTTGGTTAACCTTTTATTGAAGTCATCGGG